GCCTTTTCCAATCAACCACGGCCTCAATCTTCTGGGGGTCAACAGAAATTCCATCCTTAGTCACAACGTGACCTAGGAATGCAACATTATCTAGCCAAAATTCACACTCCTTGAATTTAGCAAACAGCCTCTCCCTTCTCAACGTCTTGAGGACTGTCTTCAAGTGCTTCTCATGAAGAGCATGGCTAGAAGAGTAGACCAAAATGTCGTCAATAAAGACAACCACAAACTGGTCTAAGTACTTGCTAAACACTCGATTCATCAAATCCGTAAATCTGGCAGGGGCATTTGTCAAGTCAAATGGCATGACTATGAACTCATAATGACCACAACGGGTGCGAAAGGCAATCTTTGGCACATCATCTGGTTTAATCTTCACCTGGTGGTAGCCAGATTGAAGATCAATCTTAGAAAATACCTGAGCACCCTTGAGCTGGTCAAACAAGTCATCAATTCTAGGAAGGGGATACCGGTTCTTCACAGTCACCTTATTCAATTCCCGGTAATCAATGCATAGCCTCATGCTCCCATCCTTCTTCTTGACAGACAACACTGGAGCTCCCCAAGGTGATACACTAGGGCGTATAAACCCTTTCTCAAGGAGTTCCTCCAGCTGGACCTTTAACTCCTTCAATTCTACAGGAGCCATACGGTATGGTGCTTTGGAAACGGGTCCAATGCCAGGAACAAGGTCAATAGCAAATTCAACCTCTCTATCCAGAGGTAAACCTGGGAGATCCTCCGGAAATACATTCGGAAACTCATGCACCACTGGTATGTCTTCTAGTCTCGATTTCACACTACTAGCATCAATAACAGAGACTAGGAAACCTTGGCAACCATTTACAAGATATTTTTGAGCCTACAAGGCAGATACTAACACGGGTGGAGCAAAAGAACCACTGCCTTGAAAACTAAATTCTGGCTCACCAGGAATATTAAAAATTATCCATTTCCGATAACAGTCTATAGAGGCAAAATGTTTTGACAACCAATCCATCCCCAAAATGATATCAAAGTCGGAGATATCTAAAACAAATAAACTAGCACTCAACTGTCTACCATCAACATAAATATCCACAGTTCTACACACCTCCCTAGTAGTCATCACCCCTCCTAAAGGGGTGTCCACATGCAGTTCACAATCAGAGGTATCAACAGGCAAAGCTCGTTTCAAAACATAAGATCGAGCAATAAAAGAGTGCGACGCACCCGAATCAAATAAAACATGCGCATAATCAGAGTTAACAGGCAAGGTACTCGTGATTACGTCGGTGGCCGCAGCTTCCTTATGAGTCATCACTTGCACTCTCGCCTACTGGGCTCTTGTCCGAACCCCGGTACTCCGTTTCTGCGCCCCCTGACTGGTAGAACTCTGCGGAGAGGTAGGCTAAGTACTCTGGGCTTTGGGGTCTAGCAATGGAAAATTTGCAATCCGGTGTCCCTACTTGCCACATTTGAAGCAAACCCCAATAACAGTGTGGCATTGATCCCGGGTGTGCCCAACCTTCCCACAAATGTGGCAAGTAAGTTGAGCCGAACAAGCACGTTGGGCCGTTGATGGTTTATAGACTATTAATCAATTGCTCCAACGAGAAATCTCCCGGCAAGTTTCCACTTCCGGGACTAAGCAGCACAAAAGTATCAAAACAAAAGAAACCAACCCATATTAAGGAAGGAATCAAACAGGCGCCTTTAATCAACCCCACTCTCATACCTTACCACGTTCCTATCATTCATTGCTAGCCAAGTTCTAGACTAATCCTAGGCTCGTAAATTAACCTAGACTCTGATACTACAAAATCTGTCACGCCCCAAACCAAGAGCGAAACAGACGCCGTGCACTCGTGAGCGGGGCCCACAAATGCACAAGGCTCGAGATCTACTGAGTTCTTACTTAGCAATTTAGATTTAAGCCTTTTAATTTACCAAATAGTTACCAGTCAAATGTACAAAATTTATCACTTCATATATACAATCATGACTAACACTAAATTACGTACACAAAATTTTCTATGTCAAGCATGGGTGACTAACGGCTTAGCTACAAAAACCTAAGTCCAAAAGTGCCTAGCTGTCTAGCTCGTCACTCCCCCGAGCTTCCCACACGTCGGGTCTCACTACCTGAAATGGTGGATAAGGAAACCGTGAGATAGAAATATCTCAGTAAGTAAACATGGGGGTCCGACATCAAAGTTTAAAGCATGCCAAATAATCGGTTGAAACATGAACAAAGCGTTTCAATAACAAATCATTAATGCAAGTAAAATCACGTAGTGGTCTCCTCTATTAGTCATGGCCAGTGTTATAAACCTCCCACTGGCAGGCACACGAGTACTAGTGTATAATCCCCACTAGTAGGGCCACGAGCGAACCGGTTCTATCACGAACATGTCGACATGTGCTAGCGTTTGTAACCTCCCCCACTAGCGAGGTCACGATTACACGACCATATCGGAGACAAAACCAAGCAAGATTTACAGAAACCACGATTCACGATCGTTCTCACTTTCAAAAAATAAACCGAAGAATCTCATGTGGGCATGCTCAATTCTAGAAAAGAAGGAAAATAATAAAAGTTCAAATTCCCTTTTTAATCATGCTCAAATGAAAATAAATCCATTTAAACCTCGCCACCATCTCAGAAAACAATTAAAATATGCTTCAAAAATTTACGGGCTTTACCATAATTTACTTACCTTAATTACACAGGACAGAAGGCCTAATCCCAGTGCTAAGGCCACAAGACAATCAAGGACCTAATCACAATGTTCCCAATTAATATCTATGTATACACAATTACACAATTACACAATTACAGATATACAATTTCTCAAACTAATGGACAGGAATTTGGGAGAACCGGCCTTGACAGAAAATGGCCAATTCACGGGATTCTCCCCTTTTTCTCTCGGACATCACACAACAACCAAACCCACTAATTTCCTACACAAATCATCAACCAAAACCCATTTTCAAATTGCCAAAACTCATCCCTATTTCAA